ACCAATCAGATTAGCCATCATCCCGACGAAGACCAACTTTCTTGGGGGACGGTATACTTCGGTCCCAACGGACTCATCCCTAGCCGCTCAGGGACTCTCCTGCGTGCCGTCCGACGCACCGCGCCTCGAGGAAGAGGGCGCCCTCGCCTTCGTCGGAGGGGCGCGGCGCTACAGTATGTTTAATTTGGGGGGGAAGGCAAAAATGTTTCAATTTTTAAATTATTTTCAACTGATTGGTTTCTTTTAGCAGGGTTTGCACATTTTAAACAAGAAATCCCCCCTCTAGTTCCCAATATTGATAAAACATGTGAATGCATGTGTGTTACACACAAACTGGGTTGGTAGGAATTTTTTGTTCAATTCCAATCCACTTGTTTTGACTTAAATCAGCTTTTTAGATTCAGTGAATGAATATGAAACAAAGGATTTATAATCATGATTTAATTTCACTTCATTTGTATTGCCCATTTCAGAGTTTGACATTGTGAAATATCAGTGTACATCAACCTTTTATATCTACAAGTACGCATGTATTTTATTGAGATAGAAATGTTGGTCATTATGTAGTGAAACTAAAACCAGTAACATATGCTCTTAATAAACTGATTTTTAATCAAGCCCGGGTCATTACTGCTCTAAAGGAGCTGGATCACAAACAAAACGAAAGTACTTTTTGTGCATATTAGAGCAAGATAAAATACCAGCACTTTGTACCTGCATGTTTTTTTATTTAGTGAGATGAATGAACAGTTAAACCATGGTTAAAACCCATGTAAAAATCTCCAAAATTACGTCTGCATGATTCGTGCCGCAACAACTCAATACACGGACTTTGGCCCCAAGGAGCAATCAGTGTACATGTGTGCCATTTCCATGGACCGCCATGTAAAGAGCCAGGGAGCTACACTGCTTGTGGCACCACAAGGTGCTGTGTGACCGGTCTGAAGGAAGCCCATGATTTAGCCTTTACTAAAGGCGAACCTGGCTACCTGGACACGACGTGCACCTCTGCTATTGGCACAATGAAGACACCAACACGAGTGGCGAAGCCATGAGCCAAGCATGGTGCACCAGTGCCTAGTGTGCCTTGACTAAAGGCTACCCGTGGCTCAGCCCGAGGTGCTGTGTCTATTGAGTTGGGTGTGAATACAACAGAGCCCTGTCAGTAGTAGCGTTGTGATGTACACAATTTATTCTCTCAACTCAGTGACAATACAGGCAAAAAACTAATCCTATTAATGTGTAAACTGACATTCAAGGGAGTACACTGGTTTTGTGTTGTTAGGAGTGGGCCTACATCCTGTTAAGGTTTGTTTCAGTTATTGTCGGCAAAAACACCGGATCAGATCGAACATCGGCTAATGTTCCAATTAAAACATCGGACATCTGCAGTTAAAACCAACGTGTGCAAACACACAATTGGCATGTATAAACTCAGACAATCCTGGACTAAATTGTTTGGACACATGTCAGCAGCTGTACCCTTTCCAGGTTTCCCACTCTCCCGGTCAATGTTGTCACTCGCGCTGGAGTACAGATCACACAGTGAGACCCAACATTGAGAGGGGTCCCGGGGGTTCAGCGACACAACAAGATTTGGCCAGGATCGTAGACACCAAGGAAATTGCAATCCTAGCAGCAGTGGAGATGGTCCAGAAAGCCAGGAAGATCAGCTGGGGCTAGTTTGAGACGTTCAATGCAGAATGTTTTAAAGACAGTGTCAAGTCAATGAATCCGGTTATTCAGTGAAATAGACTCCCTGTGTTTGGCTCTGTGAAACCCAAGGGGCCAAGAGGAAAGCAGAAAACTGCCTCCTGGAAGAACATGTGGAGCTCTTCTCATATCTTGCAAATCTCACAGGCTCTCAATGAACAAAGGTGTGGTTGACAGACATCTTGATGCAGGGGCAGTAGAAGGAACTTTGGTAGAGACACTGGTCAATGTAGGTGGACTTGCAGTGGACACAATGATTGAGAGAACCTTAGACGTTCCTACAGTGAGGCTGATGTCAAACAGGGAAAAGTGGCTAGCTTATTTCTGCCCCAACGTGATGATGGAATGTTGCGGGTTGAGGTATTGCAGAATTTCCTGGAGAGAGTCTTGTCCTTTGGACCTGATAACGAAGTTATTGTCCTTGTAGTGTTTCCAGAGCCAAGGCTTGGTATCTGTGGTAGGGAGGGACAAGGACTCAAATTCTTTCATGAAAATGTAGGCTAAGACCAGGGACATAGGAGATCCCATAAAGTCCCAGCTGTGTGTTCAAGGAACTTGTCTTGAAACTGGAAGTAGCAGGAGAAGATGCAGGTGTGGAGGAGATCTGTGAGTTGAGTGGGAGACAAATTGGTGCGCTCAATTTTTACTGTTATGGCAAAGGGCAATAGGTAGATCTTGTTCTCAGGATGATATTATGTACAATCACGTCATGATGACACCATCTCATGAAGTACTCTACCATTGACTTTATACACAGTTTTCTAGGGGGGACTTTTGGTCACTTTTCAATCCACATGACATTTATGTGCTCAGAACTACAAGTCCCATTGATATGAAACTTATGTCACAGTGGAATATACATGTAGGCACATCAGAATTTGGGTTACCTCATGATGAAGTCGAGCATTGTACATGAGACATCATCTTAAATGTTATATTTTGAACTATCTACAGATTTACAGAACTTGCAAAAAACAAGTCATTATTCACGCATTTATGGTACATGTAGTTCATGAATACTGCATATAAATACATAAACACATACATGTAATTTCAAAGAAACGTGCAGTTTGCAATGCAAAAGCCCTAAGCTCTATTCTCTAACAGACACACACCTCTAGTCAAACTTCCTTTTCAAGAACTTTAAAAGTTTAAGTAGATGTGTTGGTTGTTTGAACAAATTTGTGACGTCATGATGGCATCATCAAAAAGTACAATTTTTCATTCACATATTAAACAATGTCTTATCAACATCAAATTCACTGGATCGATAGAACTTCAGCTCCTGATTATATTTATGGTCATAACAGTCATAAAGTATGTGTCTCATGAATCCTGTGAATTTTGTAGACTTTTTCATTTTTATGCAAATCCAATTTACTTTGTACACATGTCTGTTTTTTAGTCTACATGCTACTCTACATGTCTCATAGCACAGCACGTACTGTACATGTGTGTATAACAAGTACTTTTTGCTCAAAAGCTTAGAGAAGCAGAATAGACAGACTGTTCTAGTTATGATATTACAATGTTTATTACAGGTGACTGGTGTGGTAACAGATGCTTTTAGCACAGCCAAGTACATTCTGTCTGGGACATGGGACCACAAAATGGAATATGCAAAGGTTCTGCACACTTCTGTGGATAAGAGCAGTAGAGGAAAGCCACTTTATCAGACTGCCCCACCAAAACTATTGTGGCAGAAAAATCCTCTTCCGTAAGTATGGAGCACTTCAACATGCTGTGTGTTTTCCATATGGATAATATTGTCAGTGGGATTTTTAGTCTTAATGGTCCATTTCTGCTGATTCTGTTTGCTAGATGAGATTCTTTAGTTATTGGAAGAAGCACTTTTGAGGTTACTGAGGTTGTCAATTGGCAGACTTACTTTTAGTGAAATAACCTTGGGCATTAGTATTTATCACCAATCATCGATCAGATCTAAAACCCCTCATCAAGTACTGCTTAATCGATACGATCAGCATTCTCACTCATGTACTCTGTATTACAGACCCAATGCAGAGAACATGTATAACATGACCAGTTTCTGCATAACTATGAATGAAACAGAAGAGGACGTAGCACCAACTGACACACGTAATCGGCCAGACCAGCGGCTCATGGAGGAGGGATTATGGGATGATGCAAATAAGGAGAAAGTACGCTTAGAGGAGAAGCAAAGAGCAACAAGGAGAAAAAGAGAGGCGGAGGCAGCAGCAGCTGCAGAAGCAGGTAAGTATGATTTGTTACAGAGGTCCATTTTAGCTCAACATTGTTTTATTAGATACAGTGTTCCGTTAGGAAGCTTTTAATATTCACAGTGGATGGTTTGATCTTTACTGACATATACTGTTAAAAAAACTGAGTAGGCATCTGAGGGCTTATGAAAACTATCATGATCTCATTAACCCACAACTTCCTGCATATCAGTGCAGATACATGTATATTAGCATTCCGCCACAGAGATTTCCAGGCTTGATCGGCCTATTTAAGTCATTTGAGCAGGGGTTACCACAAGCAAACATGCTTATAGTAGATGTAATTATATTTCATCCTAGAGGTTAAGACACTTTTTATTTTATTATTGCCCTATGTAATACGGTCTGAACCTTTGAATGAATGGAATCTTCCTCCATTGATAAAAATGCAAATAAACACAATTCTCCGCCTAATAAATACTCCCCAAAACCATTATTTGTGTCTTGGTTTTCTTTGGTACTGTCTGAAGCACTCCACTACAGGGTATAGACATGTTTTTTAGCTGTTTCGGCAAGTCTGCCAAAACAACTTTTGTTTTCCTTGAGATTTTTTTTTGCCTTTAGCGCAAGTTGTGAAAAAGGCATTACATATGTTGCATTTTTTTCTTCTTCTGATAATGATGATGACCCAAATCCCCTGTGTTTTGTACACGTTTTTTCCACAACCGACTTTAATTCCTTAGCAATTATGGATCTTCATCAAACTTACATCAATGAAGGATCCTTGTGTATAGATGTGTCTAGAGCAATGACTTCATGATGACGTCATCAAGTGTGATGTGATCAAGTGACTTTTTAGTAAATTTTGAATATTTAAATATAATGTTTAATTTTTAAACTCCATATAAAATCAACCTTGGCCTCCCGCAACATTCTGTTCGTAGCAAGTGGCAGAGTAATTTGGTATTTAATTCATCTGGTGTGGGTCAAATCACATGACCTTCCTTCCGGTTAAAACCGGAAGTGGGCTTACTGTTTAAAAGTGGTTATAGATATTGACTTGTTTTCAACGGTATTAGTCTGTTGGGGTATAATATTCTTCAAATCATCTACTGATGACGTCACGTAATTGTTGAGTCACAAACATTGGACTCATCTGCATGAAGTGCGTAACTGGTGTACTTGTTCACACAGATGAAGTGCTGACAACAAAAAACCCTTACAATATTTGCGTAATCGAAAATTCCATTCGCATGCTGTGCATTAGCTACTGTGTGTGTGGATGCGCATTGTCTGCCTGTAACATAAGCAGCGCACAGTGTGTAGGGCATCATACTCATGACTTGGCAATTTTCCAAGCACGTGGCACTGAGAGCAGATCGCATTGTATTGAATGCCAAAAAGGGACAAATGTTTAAAATATCTAATTTGTGCGCTTTCCGCGATAACAATTATGTTCTTTTGTATTCTACATGCCTGATTGCGTTGAAACCTTGCAGATAGTCAGAAAGGGAAGGTTTATAAACCAAGATTGATATTAAAGGTGCATCCTTTAATGTAATGTATCTCCTGAAGTACATGTCCGATTGGGTTGAAACTTGGCAGAAATTTAGAGGGGGGAGTGTTATAGACGAAATTGTGATCCTCATGCAATTATGATGTCATCAGGAGACAGGTCATGTGAGATTAAAGGTGCACTCTTTAAAGCATTGTATCTCGTGACATACATGACCCATTGGGTTCAAACTTTACAGATATCTTGAAAAGGGAGGGCTTTAGATGAACCTTCACCTTAAGTGATGATGACACATCATGTGAAAAGTCACATGACATTACAGGTTCACTCTTCAAAGCACTATATCTCTTGAATTACGTGTCCGATTGGTTTGAAACTTTTGAGTATAGCGGTTGGAAAGGAAAGGGTTTTAGACCGAAATTGACCTGATCTGATGTTGATGTCATCAGGTGGCAAGTCGTGACATTAAAGGCACACTCTTTGAAGGACTCTATCTCCTGAATTACATGTCTGATTAGGTTCAAACATTGCTGAGATCTTGAAAGATAAGTGATTTAGACGGATAATGACCTGATGTGACACCATCAGGAAGTACATGTAGGTCATGTGATATGAAAGATGCAATGTCCAAAGCACTAAATCTCCTTTATTGCATGTCGTATTGTGTTTATCTTGCTTATATCTTGAAAGGGCAGTAACTTAGGTGAATATTGACCTCATGTGAAGATCGCATCATAAGGTGAGAAATCACACGACATTAAAAGTATATTCTTCAGAGCCCTATATCTTGTGATGTAGATGTCTGTCTGGGTTGAAATTTCGTAGGTAGTGAGAATTGGAAGCGTTTCAGACGAAGTGAAGTGATGTTAAAGATGCACACTTCATTCTTCTTATCTTCTAATGTCTGAAAGGGTTTACGCATTTCATCAGTGTTATGACTTCACCAAAGAAAATAGTAGAATTATTTTTTGTGAATATTTGTAGCTCTGGGCTAGATCTTTGATAGATCTAGTATATGAAATGAACAAGTGCTATTTTCTTTCTACACATACACTTTTAATTTTCACCCTCGGCATCAATCATTTTCTTGGTGGAATTGCTTAACCACTACC